AGAGAGAGAGAGAGAGAGAGAGAGAGAGAGTGACCGACTGACTGACGGACTGACTGAGAGAGTTCTAGGGTTGCTTACACCACACAGCATGCAGGGCTTGCTATGGTAACATCTCAGTTCCTATATGCTTTTTTTTTTTTTTTTTTTTTTTCCCCCTAGTTCCTAGATGCTTTATGAATCCTTGAAATTTCCTTTCGGTTTATGACTCCATTTCTTCTTATGTCTGGCATCTTCCTCTACGTCCTCTCGAAGTTCTTTTTTCCCTATCTTTTGGGGGAAGACATTAGGTCTTGTTAGGAAATTCGGTGGTCACAATGAGATGGTAAAAGTTGGGTTCTACCGTAAAACCTAACTTCAGATAATGTGCTCCGGATTTCAGAAGTACTGAAAAGAAAAAAGAACCGACACCAGCATGGCATTTTTTTCTTCCTGCCCTGCACCGTCAACCATTTTTGGTCCGGTTGGCCAAGCCCTTGTCAACATATACGATTACCGGCCGTGCCGGAACAAAATAGCTGCGAAAGAGAATGGTGGTTTGAGAGAGAAACCCGTAAAAGTTAAAACCGCATAAGCCTCAACCTGCCCTTCCCAGTCGTATTACCAATCCTCAACCCTGAATGCTGCAAATTTGTCCGCCCATGTTAGACGCTAACCCTGAACCCTGCCCCTCTAACTGTGGACCTCCTCATGTAGTTGTTGAGGTGTAGAAGTTGTGTTGGCATGGGCTCGTTGACTGACGAAAGATCTGTGTATTGTATTATCAGCAATTGAATTTAAATGAACTTGTTCACATAAAAGTTTATAAAACACAACAACATTGAAATGGCTGTTGGGGGGTTCTAGCCGATCTGTAGGCGTCTGGTGTGAGGCTGTGAAGGATCCTGCCCTACCTGCTGTTCTTGGAACATAACCCTCCAGATCGATTATAATGCCCCCCTTAATAAAACAGGATCTTATGTGCCATGACTACGTTTTCAATTCTGGGGAGCGTCAATCCGTTTCCTTTTCTGCCGGCAAGTCATCCGTTTTATTGATTTGTATTTTTTTTATTTTTATTTTTTTTCAGATGTCCATTTTAAGTAAAAGAATACTACAAATCGCTTTTAGTGTTTTACTCGATTCTTGTGTACGGGGGCTTCAGAGGCAAGAGTTGATTCTTTTGATGGTTCGCCAGTGCTACATTGTCTAATTGTTGTCTCTCTTTTGTTTGTGGTTTTGAAGGCCTTGCTTGTGGTTGTGGGCCATCCACTTGTTCTGTTGGAGGATGAAAACTGGCGAGAGCTCTTGAAGTACTGTGTGGCAAAAGACACATATCGTGGTGCTGGCCGCGATCTTGTTCCGGGGTATGAGAAACTTAGGAGAGGAAGATCAATCTGTGGAGGAGGAAAAGGTAATGTCGCGGTGACGGTTGGGGATGGACAACATGCTGAGGAGCAGGGTAGAAGCGAGAATGACGGCAACGTTGGTAATGAGGGCAATGCGACAGTCGTGGGTGCCACACGGAGCAACCAACCCGATCGGCAGAAGGAGGCGAATGGTTTGGAAGATGGTGATGCCGCTGAGAAGAGGACAAGGTTGATGGGAAGCGATGACGAGGATGACATCACAAATGCTGTCGAAAGGCTAGCAGAGCTGTCCCTTTTGGGTATGGGGGATGCTGACAGGATTTTCCCTGAGACTCTCGACGCTCAGTACTCGGCTTTTAGCGACGAACTGGAATGGAGAGTGGTTCTTTGATCTGCCCGGAGGAAAACGTTTGGTCTTCTGGTAACCAATGGAAGCAGATCTCTGAAGTCTCTCAGCTTGATTGCTGGTTGATCTTCCTGGGTCTCCATTTTCCCAGACTTGTTTGGTGTTCTGGTCGTCGAAGGAAGTAGATTCTCGGTCTCTACGCGGACGGACTCGTGCTTCAATATTCGGGGGCTTGTAACTGCTGCCATCTCCACAGCTTGTCTGGTGTCAAAGTTAGGTAGAGCAATGGAGGATGGCCCGATATGGTACGGAAAGTGACTCTCTGCTTTGCAAAGGAGTGCGCTTCGCTGTGTCACGTGGTCCAAGGGACCATGTCCAAGAGTATTAGAGGAAGAAGTTGGTGATTAGGTTTTGAAGTATGATGGACAGCATCGGCGGGTTGGAGTTCTGTCACCTGGAGGTAAGGAAGACTCTGGTTTCTGTAGGAAATCGCCAAAAATTTGCCATGCATCCTTGTGACCCCCCGCAGGACATCCGAGAGTGGTCTGCCTGGAGCATAGAGCAACTGGTGATCTGCGATCCCAATCATTCTTCGAGGTTTGATGCCCATTTACGGTCGACAAGACAGCTCTTCCAGGCACAATGGGATGAATACGTGTCATTTGACAGGCATCCGCCATCATGAAAAAAATGCAATGTTGGACGTTCAGGTTGGTACACCCGTGAACTGTTGAAATACAGACCTCAGTTCGGATACTATCGTAAAAAAAAAAAAAAGGTAAACAGAGGTGTTCAGAGATTGCGCCGATCATGTATGCTCATCGTGCATGTCACTTACAGCAATCTGGAATCGTCAGGTGACGTAAAGACTGCCTACTGCTCTTCTTCCTCAGAGGAAAATGTCCTGTCCCTGAATGAAGTGCTACAGATTATGAATGGGAGAGGGGGAGGGAACTGGGAGTGGGTGAGGCGATGCTGGACGTTCATGTAAGCAGAGGTGATAAGGGATTGCAGAGGTGATAAGGGATTCTGCGGATTTTGTATGGTCATCCCACGGGTCACGTACAGGAAACTGGAACGGTCAGGTGAGGGGAAAGACTGCCTACTGCTTTTGTTTCTTGCAAGAAAATGTCCCTGGATGAAGTGCTACAGAGTCTGAATGGGGGAGGGGGAGGGGGAGAGGCGACGCTGGACGTTCAGGTAGGCAAAGGCGTCAAGGGATTGCGGCGTCATTGCGCCTATCGTGTGTGATCATCCTGCATGTCACCTCCAGAAAACTGGAACGGTCAGGCAAGGAGGAAAGACTGCCTACTCCTTTTGTTCCTTACAGGGGGGAGGGGGAGGGGGAGAGGCGACGCTGGACGTTCAGGTAAGCAAATGCGGCAAGGGATTGCGCCTATCGTGTGTGATCATCCTGCATGTCACCTCCAGAAAATTGGAACGGTCAGGCGAGGAGGAAAGACTGCCTACTCCTTTTGTTCCTTACAGGAAACTGTCCCTGAATGAGGCGCTACAGAGTCAAAATGGGAGAGGGGGAGGGGAGGAGACGCGAGGAGAATCGGATCCAATTTACGAATGAACATGACCAGAACTTGCAAGCAATCTCCGGCCAACCTGATATCCTCCATGGTATTCTACCATCTTAAGACGAACTGTCTTGGGTGCTGAGGGTTTGTTACTTCGTACCGTCTATACGTGTAATGATTAGTGTCTATCCAACTGACCATCGCCTGATCATCAACAGGTTCAATGACTTAACCTTATGAGTGAGTGCTGTGGGGGATAAATCTCACAGTGCAGCTGTCTAGAGGTTTGCTTCTTCTTTGCTGATGGGAAGGGGTATCGAGGAGCTGGTTCCAGATGACCAATCAACTACCGATCAAGTAATCTAGTTGATTGGTCATTGATTGCCATCAACAAATGAAAAAAATCCTGAATTTTTGGAGCGGCAGGCGGTTCACGAGATGGCTGCAAAATGCCATTCTCATTCAGCACTCCCATAGGTGAGTCTTCTAGATCTCCCCTTTCAGCACTAACTTAATGGGTTTTCTCCTCCAGAATCCAGATCATTCCACCCTTTTCATGCATACTTTCACCGCAGTGCCCTGCTTGCTGTGCCACACTGGTATTCATTCAATGCAATAAAAACAGTACTGTATCTCTCATTGAAGTGCTGAAGCAGTGTCTTATTTTGCCCCCCATCTTTTTTTTTAATTTTATAGTCATCGATACACAGATTTCATTTCATTTCTGAGGGAATTTTCACACTAGTACTTTCCAGCGTTTTTCGACCGATGCTGGACACAATTGCTTTCCAATATGTCCATGCCGGTCCATAATAGCAGTCAGATGCATCCAGGGAAGTCCTACTGTATGCCGCAAGGGTGTTCGCACTGCGACACACTGCACCACACTACATCCCTCACGGAACTCGTCGTTGCTGCTCTTGCATGATGGACTGTGTTTGGTATGCAGCCTTGATTTGAAAGCGTATGCCTTCTCTTGCTTCACCCCCCGCTCCTGCTGCAAACTGGTCTTAAATCCATTTGAAGCACCCTTTTGCAGATTCTCTGCGGGCAAATTGACGTCAATCATGTCATTGCATTTGGTTGTCACCCGATGCTGCACCCCTGCCTCACGCAACGCTCTTGTCATTTTCTTAGCTCTTAATTAGTGATGTGGTCAGCAATGGTTGTGTGCGCGTTAGGTTCATATGCACTGTTTAGTGATTTGGCCCGCAAGTGGCTGCAGGAGTGTGCGATGGGACGCTGAATGTCTGTTCCCTGATTCTGATCGCGTTTGCCTGTCACCGCAGTGCTGCGATTGCAGCCCACTGATGATGATCTCTCAAAGATCGCCATGCAGAGAATTGCTGAAATTGCCTTAAGTCGAAGAGATTTCACCTGTGAGATGAAGCTTGCAAACTGCTCCCAGCGGTCCTGCAGAGGTAACGCCGTATCCAAGGGTGCCGTGGTTCTTAGCCGAAGCCGGGTAGTGGCCCTGCTCTCGTGCAATCAGACTCGACTCAACCACACTTTTCATGCACGTGAACAACAGCACAACAACTGGCGACATGCGCCCACACAGATATGGCTTCCAGGTAAGTTCACTTCCACTGGCTATGGCGACTGAGCGCCCAACATCCAATGTTCACACATTGGATCACCCTGGATATCCCACATACGGCACTCTGCACACTCACACAACACACACACACACGCACTACTCTAGCTATGGCCCTGGGCCCAGAATGACATTCGTGGGGCCTTTCAGAACCAACAGGTGAAGCCCTACTTAATGTGGGACAAGCCGGCACGTTCAGTGATAAGGACTGACGGGTTGTGGTGGTGGCGGTTCCTTTAATGGGACAGAGGCCTGAACTTATAGTAAACCTTTGTCACAATCTGCTCTGTAACAGTCCAGGGTTCATAGTTTGGCAGTCTGGCGTTAGAGAGGAGATTATGATGATGTGTGGGCATCCATGAATGGCACCCTACACACTTACCGAGAAACAGTCCAAATGTTGAAGAAGAAGAACATGAAGGAGAAGAACAAAAAAAAAAAACCGGGAAAAATGAGAGGGAGGAAGAAAGAGGGGGGGATGGACCGCAAGGTAGGTACGTAGGTAGGTAGGTAGGTAGGTAGGTAGGTAGAGAGAGAGAGAGAGAGAGAGAGAGAGAGAGAGAGAGAGAGAGAGAGATTTGCAAGGTGGGTATTCTGGAGGCCTTTGCACATTCCCTTAGATGACCCTTGGAACGGAGTTTCATTGTAGATCTCACGGGAATGGACCTCACTGATGCCATTTTTTGAGTCTGGGCCCTCGGGAATGAACATTACTGACTCATCCATGGAGTGAAGAGTGGAGCCTTTGTACGACTTTGGAAGACTCACTCGTATCGAGTATTGTCGACCTTTCGAGAGAGTTTTGGTATGTAGTTTGTAGGGTGACATTTACCAGGGACCTTTGGAAGAGCCCTGTGTGATGAAGCTCGGCATTGGTGTCCGGGCTGCGCCTTCACAATCTCTCCGAAACCTTGGTGTGGCGAATTCAGCGTTTGTTGGCGCTGAGGTTGGCGGGGGGGGAGGTTGTGGGGGGAAGCAGTTACATGAAAAAGAAGCAGCAGTGTCAGTCAGATTACTGATTCCTAAGGCAACGGTCACATTGTTGCTTCATAAGGCAGTGGGCCTCACCACAGTTCTGATGAAAAGAGGTGTGGCGAATTCAGCGTTTGTTGGCGCTGAGGTTGGCGGGGGGGGAGGTTGTGGGGGGAAGCGGTTACATGAAAAAGAAGCAGCAGTGTCAGTCAGATTACTGATTCCTAAGGCAACGGTCACATTGTCGCTTCATAAGGCAGTGGGCCTCACCACAGTTCTGATGAAAAGAGGAAAACAGTGAAGTGCATCTTTGCACAGAAGGCAGCAATCCGCTACTTGTCGTAGTGGCGGATGCGTCGTGCTGCGTTGTGTGTCGAGATGCAGTCACCCATTCTTCTCGTTTCGAGAGTGGTATGGCAAGGCCCAGTGTCTGTCATAAGGCAGTGGGCCTCGCCGCACTTCTCTTGAAACCAGGACGGCGGCGAGTGTATCTTTGTGCAGAAGGTGGCGATACGCCACTGTTCGTAGTAGCGGATGCATCTTGCAGCTTTCTGCGTCGAGATGCAGTTGCCATTTTTCTCGTTTCGAGTAGTACAGCTAGGCCCATTGTCCGTCGCATTGTCGATTCATAAGGCATTGTCTATCGCATTGTGGACCTCTAAGGTTTCCTGCCTTTTTCAGCTTGCAGCCTTAGTGCTTCCATGCGAAAAAACAGAGGTACTTGTGGCTTTTAGTCCCTTTTGTCATAGTAGAAGTTACAGTGATCACTCTTTTACTATTCTGTGATTTCTACTGACCACAGGCGGGTAATCCTGCCAAGGGTGTGTCATTACTTTGCCTTTCGTTTGACTCTAGTCGGAAGACTGACTTCGAGTTTACCAGTCTGCAGCCTTCTGACATTTGAACCTTCTAGTCTGTTCTGTTGACAACCTGATTCCCTAATTGTTTCAGTCGTTCGTTTTTTTAATTTTTTTTTCCCCCTTCGTTAAAGTTTTTTCCCTTTTTTCCCCTTCTTTCCCCTTTTTTCCCTTTTTTTCCCCTTTTTTCCCTATATTTTTGTTTTTTGGTCATTCATGGTTCTGACTCTTCTGACTCTTCTGGCCATTGGTATTTCAAATTGCAGTAGGAACTCGGCAGTCATCATGTCATTCGTCATGAGGAAGTCAAAATGAACAGTGAGTAGAAGAAAAGAACAAACCCCAAAAATTTGAAAAAAGAGCAAAAGAAAATGGAAGTGAAACTTTGGAAAACCCTTTCCAAGCGGCGAGTGCCAATTTCTTGGTGATTTATTGTCGATTCACCTATCTATTCTCTTATGATTTCCTCTGCTGATGATTTGTGCTCTTCAGGTGGGCAATTGATGTGTGAGACACACTGCCACCGGTTGCCTGCATTGCCTTGCTACACTTAATATATCATCAATCGACCTCTTAGGCTCTCTTTACTTGATTAGATCTTCCTAGTTTGGTGATATTTCCTTGTGTTTATTATTTTTCTTAGTTGATGATATTTCTAGTTTCATGTAGTCTGATACTTCCAGGTTGATGATATTCCTACCGTCTTCCCCTGAACACAACGCACCCTCATTTTCGGTGTACCTGACCGGAAATATAGCTTTAATACGTTCGTTATCAGGGTGCGGTATGTTCGGGGAACGGCGGCGGTTTGGAGTTCCCAAGTATGAGCCGTCACTGACAGCTATGTGTCCCGGCCTTGCAGGTCTCTGACGTGCACCTTTCCGCGCCATTGCAGGACCGTTCTTTGCCTGTGGCCAATGGGTGCTTTCCCTCTCAGCTGAGCTTTCATCATAACCAGTACTTCAACACTAACTTCCACACATTGCCGCCTTTCTTCCTCTGCTCACGTCGTTGGGCAATCGTTAAATACCTGTCGCTGCTGGGTGCTTCGCTTCAGTGTAGGTGTCATCGTAACAAATGCATTTGGCCACTTAACTGCCACATGTGTCCCTTTTTTCCTCTCCTTGTATCATCAACAAGTGGCTGCTATCTGTTTGATGTGCTGGAGGTTGAACTCTCACCAGCAGCTACCAGTTCTGGTCTCCAACGTGGACGATTGCGGGCCATTGCCCGAGGTTTACATCCCTGCAGCCTGCTCTATCCTTCACTTCTGTTGAGCTCCCGCCTTCACCAATGTGCATGGCCGTCATGATCTCAATCTACGTGATTCCAGGCTGTTTGACGTTCCTAACTTAGTACTATTTTCAATCTTTTTCAATCTTTTTCAATCTTTCTTAGTACTATTTTCTTTTTCAATCTTTCTAAGTACGATTTGCAGTATTTTTCAATCTTTCTTAGTACGATTTTCAATATTTTTCAATCTTTCTTAGTACGATTTTCAATATTTTTCAATCTTTCTTAGTACGATTTCCAATCTTTCTTAGTATTTTAGTATTTTCAATCCTTTTCAATCTTTCTTAGTACTATTTTAGTATTTTCAATCCTTTTCAATCTTTCTTAGTACTATTTTCGATTTTTTCTTTGTACTATTTTCGATCTTTTTCAATCTTTCTTAGTACGATTTTCAATCTTTTTCAATCTTTCTTAGTACGATTTTCAATCCTTTACTATTTTAGTATTTTACTATGTTCAATCCTTTTCAATCTTTCCTAGTACTATTTTCAATCTTTTCTTTGTACTATTTTCAATCTTTTTCAATCTTTCTTAGTACTATTTTAGTATTTTCAATCTTTCTTAGTACAATTTTCAATCTTTTTCAATCTTTCTTAGTACTATTTTTTATCTTTTTCAATCTTTTTCTTTCCAGCTATGTTCACGTCGTGGCGGTCCAGCTATCAACACAGAACTCTGTATATAATATGAAGTTATAAACCTGACTGCTCCACCCAGGTCCTCTGCACTGAACCTTATTTTTTTCAATCTGATGTAAAATTCAAGTCCGCACATGCCAGCACCCCTTTCTCAAGCATAGTCACACACACAGGACTCAGGTGGACCGAAGAACCAAACCGGCTTGGTGGAGGTTTGGAAAGAGGCTTGTGCAGGACTGGCTCCAAAAATAGTCCAGCCATTATGGCAACTGACACATCACAGGATAGAGCTGCTGAAAGCCGCTTTATATTCGGCGATGGTAAACAGCGGCAACCCCCCTCCCGCCCCCCGGACCCCTTCCCCCTCCGTCTCCCTCCCTCCGTGTGCGTCCTGTTAAGCTCATAACAAAGCAGGCAACCAAAACACTTGGTTCGGCCACCTTGGATTTGTTGGTCTTTTCACTGCCCTTGGAGCCTGCAGGTTATCGTGTAGGTGATCATGCAGGTAATCAATCAATCGCAAATATGCTGTTTCCGAACTTCCCGGCCTACAGACCAGTTTTTTTTTTCCGAATCACTAGTCTGAGCTAGCTGGTGCACAAATGCACATGAACACACATCGCGAATTCATATTATGCACCATATAAAATTTTGTATCCTTTATAAGTCTATATAATACTTCATATCGAAAGTGCTCAGGGCCATATCGAAAGTGCTCAGGGCCCCTGCTTACTTGTTTTCGTCTCTCCATGGCTGGACTTCTTTATAGGCTTGATTAGCAATGATGATATATTTATTTGTTTGTGGCTTTGTCCCCCCTGCAGGCTTTGAGACGTCTGATGCGGCATCTCATGGTGGTCCTGCTTTCTTTTCTTTTTCTTTTTTTTTGGTGTTCTTTTTTTTTTTTTTTTGGGCGTGACCATGTTCTTCTCTTCATCACGTGCGCAATGGCGACACTGTGGCGGCTGTCACAGTTACATGACACGTATGTTTCCATTGCGTTGCGCAGGTTCGCTCTGATTCCCATCCCTCCCCCCCCCCCCCCCCCCCCCCCCCCCCCCCCCCCCCCCCCCCCCCCCCCCCCCCCCCCCCGCGATCCTCCCCTTTGGAGAGATTTTGGTGGCCTTGATCTTCCATGTCACATATGGTTCACACGTAGTATACCACCCAAAAAAAAGTAGTGCATAGGATATACCACCAAAAAAAATAATGCATAG